TTTTGGCCTCGGTAAATTTGAAAATATACTCGGATCCCGCCGGGTAGGCTGCAAACTGGGAGATTTCCTCCGCATCGTTGCTGCGTAATCGGTCATTCGCGCCTGGCGTAATCTCCCGGTATTTCCGACGTAGTTGCTTTGTCCACAACTGCGCCGGGTTAGACAAAAGACTCTAGCCGTTTCCTGCTGTGGCAAGGGAGTCTTTTGGCTTCATGATCCGGCGCATTGCGGTTGCTTTCGGCCTGTATGCAACTCCCAATCCAAGTGAAGGGAGAAGGCTGCTGACTGTGTCGGATACATTCTTCACGAAGGGAAGAGCTCACCAGACTTTTGGGTCAATTTGATTTGGTCTCTTGTCTCGTTTGTGTATGCACTGGTTAACAAAGTTTCGCACGTAGCCGTTCGCTCTCCGTACCCGTCGAACATGTTGTACTTGAATGTTATCACGCTCTTTTACTACCCCCTTACAAGCTTTATGAGAACAGAGTTACTACTGTCGACTAGTCGCCATTACACACAACGCGTGTCTTCGCTGAATTCTGACCATTCAATCTACCGTGTTAAGGCACGTTCATCTGAAAATAAAAGGAATTATTGGTTCAGGAGAAGGAACCTTTCGAAACCCTCTAGCTTGAGTATATCTTCGCCTCTCCCCAGCCGGATCCTAGTCGCTGTACTCCTACTTCTGAATGTATAATCAGAACCCACTGATTTGGTGTCATCCAAAAATAGAGGAACTTGTAGATGCTAAGCAGGTTCTAAGTAGGCAGCTCGCACCCTAATACGCTTTGGTGATAGGTCTTCAGTAGTAGCTTATCTGCATAACGGTAGTGATTACAGCAGACAGTCGGCACCTGTGTGGTTGTTCTGCTCCTAAAAGCTGTCATTGTTACCTTGCAGTCCTTATGAATTTCCAAAAACTTTGAACTGTTGTTGTGATTTCTCTTAGTGGAGTTATATTTTCACAACTGGTGTTCTGAGACGAGGAACTGGACACGTCGGCTAAGAAGTACAAAGTAAACAAGGTTACGTCTTTAAGGAGATGGTAGTGTCGACGGGGCACTGTCATATTTGTCGTAGGAAGAGATTTTGTCTGTATCCTGCAGTGATTATGCCCAAAATATGTAATAACGGCTCAGTGGTCGGAGGACATAGACAACACCCCACCGCCCACTTACTTTTAGTGCGTAACCATCAGTAATCTCAGTTCTTGCCACGACAAAGCATTCTCAGTAGCACGTTTGTTATACATATCTGGGGTTCTGGTTAGCGTCTGTGCTGGAAATATTGAGGAGCAGGTCATGAAATTTATTTACTACCATTAACATGAATTGCGTAAAGACGGGATATTGCACGGTTATTCCAAGAACTCGATTCAGTTTGAGCAATATCTTCATTAAGTTGTCGTGTATTGGATACTAAGCTCGGTTATTTCCTCTTAAATTTGTTAAAGTATCGGTTCAGTATTAGCACCCAAAAACATACAGAGAACGCTGAACGACCTATGAGGGAAGGGGGGTGATTTCTTCATAGTTGCGTCGCGCAACAGCGGAAGGATCAACGAAGAAAGTGTCTGCTCCCAACCAATAGTTATGTTGGGAGTGTGATGGATCGTTTTCAGTTAAAAAATTATTCTCCTACACGTGCTACTATAAATACTACCTGTCTGTAAGATGGCTATTTGGTAGGGATCGCTTACATGTCCCCCAGGCAGTACAAGGGAGAAGACAGCGCCCGTAATGCAGGCGGCCTTGTACTAAATTCGGGGAAATCGGGGGTATTTTTAGGACTAGAGCACTGGAATAATTACCCTTCTTGGAAGCTGGCGCAAGGCCACCTGTATTGCGGGCTACTGTTCATGCACCTGTGTCCTGCCCGGGCAGCATATAAGTTATTCGGACCGTATATTATTTAGTTGGTTCGAGTAAGGTGATTATTTGGACTCAAATACCTATTGTAATATCATAAATAAGATGAAATGTCGCATCTAGGACACTCATCGTCAAGATGACATTCATACCTACAATTCTAACATAGAAGAAGACACAGCAGATGCTGCGCAGCACCGAGAAGCTGAACCACCGTAGTTGCGCCATACCTTAGCAGAAACACCAGTAAAATGTGTCTGAGTTTTTAGTTTGTAATAAGATTAGAATTGCAGTGCCAACAGTCATACGAAATTAGGACAGTGATAGTGCCTCGTCTATGTAGAATCGGCAACAAGGGTTTATTCGGCAGACATTGGTAGCCTTAGAAACAAATTTCCGTTACTATTCGGGAACTAACACTTCTTTCGTGTTCCGAACAATGAACTCCATTTCATGAGTTTGTATTTATATCCGGAGCAAAATGGTCACGGTTCCTGAGGGTGAGCCAAACTGTTCGCCGTTTCGTCATGCAGCATCACTATCAGCATCTCCTAAACACGCGTTTGAGCCTTAAGTCATCATCCGTGTTTGAATTATGGTGGAGCTATTGTCCTATAAGATTAGACTACATGTGGCACCTTTCATACGCAAAATGGATATTTCGCGGTTAGTCCGCAGTTGTAGCTTGATTTTGACTGAAATATATCTTGTTGTATGGGCAAACTGTATTGCGGACAGTTAGGTCAATGTTTCAGCGGTCTGCCGAAATCAAGCCGACTGGGGATGAGGTTGGGCTCAATGGCCGAGGCCGCCACCGAGCGTTTACAACATATGGACCCGAATCTTGCATTATATAATGTATCATCAGGGCTTCCGCAAGCAGGGGCCATTGCAGCTGGACCATCATTCGAAAGGCAGACTCAGTTATCGCGTCGTTTGACAACAGCTCACGCCAAGACTCTCATGGTACCGAGGGGAGTTTAGAGTTTAGAGACATTGGTAAAAATATCAGAATGGACATTTAAGGATGAGCCTTAGCCTCTGCTCCCAGCGGCCTTTCTGAGGCTGTTGGTCATACGGTGATGATATTGAGCGCAATGACTGATTTAGCCCAGGGTCTCAGCTTAACGCACACCCCAGGCATGCGACAGTTCGACCGTTGTGTTTGAACCTTTTTGTCGCAGCAGCTTAAGTTATAGGTAGCTGCTAGCTGCTACGACAGTCAGACTCGGTTCCGAATAGGAAAATGGGTGGGAGGCCAGTTGAGAGGATGTTATTTTCTGTACAGAACTATTGGTGGAAAGGCAGAAGTTGGTAAACGGACGAGAGCACGTCAGGAGCCATGAGAGCGGCATCC